ATGAAATAATCTAATTTATTTAATTAATTTGCTAATTTGTATAGAAAAAAATAAAATAATTTAATTAATTCAATATAACAAATAAAAAAATTATTTAGTTTCGGTTCTTGTTCGGTTCTTCGGTCATTGGTCTAGACCCGAGACCCGACCCAAATCCATCGGTTCTCGATTCGGGTACCCGTTCGGGTATTTAATTTATGAAGAACCGCTCGGTTCGGTTCGGGTTCGGTTCGGTTCGGGGCTTTTGGACACCCCTAACCGAAGGTACAAAACCCATTAGTTGCAAATGGATTTTTAAAAGCAAGAAGGATTCGAAAGGTGATGCGGAAACATATAAGGCTCGTTTTATAGCTAAAGACTTTACCCAAAAGGGAGGCATTGCCTTCAAAGAGATTTTTTCTCTAGTTTCAACGAAAGACTCTATCAGGATAATTATGATACTTATTGCACACTTTGACCTTGAGCTATATCAGACGGATGTTAAGACGACATTTCTCAATCACGACATTAATGAGACAATCTATATGATGCAACCAGAAGACTTTGTGTCAGGTGACCCGAAAAATATGGTTTGCAAATTAAAGAAATCCATCTATGGGCTCAAGCAAACTTCCTGTCAATGGTACTACAAATTTCATCAAGTGATTATTTCGTTTGGTTTTGAGATGAATGTTGTTGATGACTGTGTGTATCACAAGTTCAGTGGGAGGCATATTTTCCTAATTTTGTATGTTGATGACATACTGCTTGCCACTAATGACATATGCATGTTCCACGAAACCAAGAGATGTTTATCAAGAAATTTTGAGATGAAAGATCTTGATGACGCCTTTTTGTATTAGGAATTCAGGTACATCGAGATCGCTCTCGGGGTATTCTTGGTTTGTCACAAAAGAGCTATATCGATAAAGTACTTAAGAGGTTTGACATGCAAAACTGTAAATCCGGTGACACCCCTGTCGCTAAGGGAGACAAATTTAGTCTCAAACAATGCCCGCAAAATAACCTTGAAGTTAAGAAAATGCAGAAGATTCCCTATGCATCAGCTGTTGGAATCTTATGTATGCTCAAGTTGTACACGTCCAGACATAGCATTCATTATTGAAATGCTAGGCAGATATTTGAGCAACCCTGGAATGAATCATTGGAAAGCAGCCAAAAGGGTTATAAAATATTTGAAGAGAACAAAGGACAACATGCTCACATATGTCAGATCGGATCAATTAGAGATCATAGGGTACATCGATTCTGATTTTGCTGGATGCCAGATAGTAAGAGATCCATATCAGGCTATAGCTATCTGCTAGCTGAAAGAGCTATTTCCTGGAAGAGTGCCAAGCAGACACTTATAGCTTCTTCTATCGTGGCAGCAGAATTTGTAGCATGCTATGAGACGCCTAATTATGGAATATGGCTACGAAATTTTGTAATTGGGCTGTGCATTCTGAATGGCATAGAAAGACCACTAAAGTTATATTGTGGCAATAACTCAACAGTTCTATATTCTAATAACAATAGGAGTTCATCTAAGTCAAAACACATTGAAATTAAGTTCTTGGTTGTGAAGGAAAGAGTACAGAGTTAACAGATTTCCGTATAGCACATTGGGACGAACTCCATGATTGCAGATTTACATACTAAGGGATTAACACACAAAGTCTTTCATGAACACACTGCTCATATGGGTGTTATTCATGATAATATCATGTTTTAGTGGGAGTTTGTATTTTCATTGCTTTATGTTTTATGGACACATTTGTGTATTTGGATATTATTCTGTATAAAAATAAAGTACTCAGTTCATTTCACTCTGTTATTATGCTCAGTATTGATTTCACTTAAGAAATAAGGTTGGATTAGTTGGAAATAGACATGTTTGGATTACATAACATGTAATTTTTATGCTACGCTCCCATGATTATCTATGTCATTTGGTTGTATAGGTGTATGTGACCATTGATGGATTTAGTTACGTTAAATGTGACGAAAATTGCTTTGATCCTATATCAATATGACTAATGGACGAGATTGTTTGGTAATACCCATAATAATGATAGCAAAATTTGAAGCTCATAAGGTTGTGCACATTTGTAAGATTACGCGTATGGCTCAATAGGAGATTATTGGATAATTTTAACATATTTGGGGCTACACGTTGTATATTAAAATATATGATGCTATTATTTAAAGAATATTAATCAATTAAAGTGATCCGTTAGAGATATATTTTGACTAATGAATATTAGATTTCAAGGAAATATAGTGTAGAGACCGAAATGTCGTTTTAAACTGATAAGGGGCCAATTTATAACAACTGAAAGATAGTGACTATTCAATTATTATTATTTTATATGGTTATGGTCCCTATTTGATGGTTTTCTTGAGATTCTCTGCATCCCCATCAACAAGAGAGTGAAAATCAAGAGAAGATCACAAATCAATTGGAAGATCATAACCTATCCAGCCAAATAATCTGACATCCATGGATCCAGCAAGTTTGTGAATTTGTTATTTTCTCAGATTCAACATGGAGTATGAATTTTAGAGTTTATGCGCCTGTTTGAGCCATATTTTTCATCCAAAAGTATAAAAAATGTAGCCGTTGGAGCACCAATTTTCGAGGCCATTATGTGACAAAAGTCAAAAATTGCAGGCTCCCAGCGGTCCTATTTTTTCTAAAAACGGCAGCAAAATGCCCAACAAACAGGCGTCATATGAGAAAATGATTTGATTAAAGAATCTATAATCCCTTTATGTTTTCAATCAAAGATGTCATCACTCAATCAAGCTTCACTTCAAGAATGAGGAAGGGTACCTTGCTCATGACTTGTAGTGTTCATAGTTCAAGAGGACAAAGCAAAAGGTATCGTGATAGGCCAAATGCACCCAATTAGGTATGTTTCGATTTGATGCTCAAGCACTGTTTTTTGTGAATGTTATTTAGTGCTTGTTTGTTAGGGATTTTTGGAGGAAAATTGATTTTGAATAGTGATATGATGGAAAATGTGCGATTAAAACAAAGAAAAAATTATTGATGTGATGAAAAATATTATTTTATTAAATAATGTATGGTTGAAAATGAGAATTGATTCTCAAAATAAAAAACAAACAGCCCCTCAATATGACCTAACTTAATTCATTTGTACCTATTTTCCGTATTGGTTTGCAAGTGCAGATGACCCCCATAATACAAGATGGTCTGGCCATAGAACGAAATCTCAAGCGTATCCAAATTTTTTTGTTCTCATAATTCATAAATGCTCGAACTGATTGCTAATGTTGTTTGTTTTATTAAATTCATAGGCGAAGCTTGTGCCAAGGAGAGAAAAGAGGCATCCAAGAAACGAAGTGCATCCACCACCACCTTTTGAATTCCAGTTCATGCCAACACTGGAATTGGTTTGACCAGCGATGCTAATAGACAAGGATTGGTCCTTTAGTTTCTGAGCTGGACTGTTTGAGGATGGGGAAGGACAAGGCAAGTAAAGCTTCTGTGCAAATCCAAGTAGAAATTTTGGCACTGGAAATGATGGTTGAAGATTTGCAAGAGGTTGACGCCTAGACATGCCAGAAAGAAGGCTGCTACGACAAAGAATGAAGAGTAGTAACCGGGTTAGTTCCATTTGTACAACCAAGGACAAGGAAAAATGCATCAACTCGGAAATGTTTTGAAGCTCAAACATATGTCACAACATTTAAGTTGGGTTATAAATTTTTATTTTTATTTTTTGGCTGAAACGCTTTAGTTTATGGTCTTTGTTTGATTGTAGAGACAAAACAATGTCTGCACTTTTGTTAGGTAAAAACAATGCCTAGCCTTTTTGTGTGTGTGTGTGGGGTGTGGGGGGGGGGGGGGGGGGAGGAGGAAGATGATGATGAAAAAGTATGGAGGAGGCGGTGGTCACAATGGTAAGCGGCAGAAGAATCAAGGGCTGTCGAACTTCTTTGATGAGGAACCACAAGTGGATAACGACGACAAAGAAGAAGAATGCTGCAGCCCGTAATTTTCTTTTTCAGTTTAATTTTTGGAAGCCCTTTAGAGTTTTTGATGTAGGTTTAATTCAGTTCGGTTGATTTGTTATGGTGAATCTTGTTTGCGTGAATTGGATTTTTGATCTTTTTGATTTTCTTTCAGTAATCTAATTGGTGTCAATTAATTTGTGTGCCAGCTTCATTAGAATTTTGGTTGGTTTGATTTTCATGGGCTTCTTTATGTTTTTATGATGCATAATTTTTTATTTATTCTAGAATTGAATTTTTCTGTTGTTCGATTTTATTTGTTATTTTTTGTTCTTTTTCTAATTTTGATTGTTATTCATGAATTTGTGTGGCATTTCCGTTCTAATTCAAAGTTTCCCAGTTTCAAAAACTATGCTGTGAGTTGAAAGACTGTTACTTTTATTTCTTATGAATTGTGCTTAATCTCAATTCTATCATCATCATCATCATCATCATCATCATAAATTCATTCATTTTTATTGATTGTTAAGTGTTTTCATGGGCATTTCTCTTTTTCTAAGCGAGCTGAATTCGTCACGATTTTGTTCATGTCAAATCTATGGATCTTGTTGTATCTATTTCTTATGTCTCTTGTAGCATCTCTCGATTAATACACCTTCTGGAGCTTTACTTAACTCTTTCCCTTCTTTTCCAACTGGTAGTGTTTACAGATCTCCTACTTGAGGGTCTTGTGGCGGTGGCAGTTGGGGCTCAAGAGGTTCAAGGGGTTGACACTAATGAAAAAATCCCTAAAAAAGAAATAGAAGAAAAACGAAAGTCCCACCATTTTCATTTTGCTCATACCTTGTCGACTTTAAGCATCAGTACTTAATTGCTTTACTTTGAAATGAGGCAACTGAAATAAATAGCGATCTGTAATGAAATAGGAGTTACTGTTTATCCGATCCAGATTTATTTTTCCCCTTCTTAACAAAGCGCTTTTAAGGATTATATCCACATCCTGGTACTCTTTTCCCAAATTTCGTTCATTTATGATTTTGTTAAGTAATTTGCTGTTAATTACTGTTAAGATTTATTTTTGCCAACCTTAACAATGAAATTGTGGAATTTTTGCACATTTCCCCAATTTTAGTTATTTTCATGTTGAATTTTTAGAGTGCACATGAATATATTTTGTTTGCTGTTAATTACTGTTAAGATTTATTTTTGAGAACCTTAACAATGAAATTGTGGAATTCTGCACATTTCCCCAAATTTAGTTATTTTTATGTGGAATTTTTAGAGTGAACATGATTAAATTTTGTTGTTAAATAGTTAAAGATTGATTTTTGTGAACCTTAAATGATGAAATTGTGGAATTATTTGAATAATGTGTGCATTTATTCTACCCAACACCTGCAAATTTGTTTACTTTAATGTTGCCAAATCTTTAGATTAGTGCTGCCTTCTAAATTTTTTATTTGTTTAACGTTTTAGTGTAACGTTGGAACTTGGAAATTCAATTAGAAATTGTAGATCTGTTTGTGCTTCTTGTTTTTAATGGGCAGTAAAACTATACGGATTCTACTTCTCGATCATATATGGAGCTATTCCGATTTCAAATGAGGATGATTAGATGGAAAGGATTGATTTTTGTGATATTGCAGAATTTACACAGTGCATAGCATTTGTTACATTTTGGATTCCATGTAACATACTGGGAATGATGTTGAGAAGTTGGTGGATGTTGAGAAAAAATTCGACATGGTGCTAATTTATAAATCAATGCAGTTCTGTATGTTGCCCCAATAGCAGAAATCTTTCACGTATTGACATGTCTTATTCTTTAGTTTTAAAATTATGTCTTACAAGATGATCTTTCCTGTTAATTCATTGCTAATTCGTAGCGTATCACAGGGTTGGCTGCTGTTTTGGTGTGCTTGATGGTAATCACTAGATTACTGCACAATTCAAAGTACCAACGGGGATGGTTTTCGTATTCCTGCTTCCCTGGTACATTATTGGCAGTCCTATGGTTACACCACACACATGCTGAGGTAACTGGTTAATTCCTTGCACACAATCCATATTCAAATTATCACAGCTCATGTTAAGGATTATAATAAGATTTAATAGTACATGATGAAAATTTACAGAGAAATTATTTCCTGAGTGAAGAATTGATCATATTACATTTTTAGTTCGTCGTTTGCTTTCAAACACGAGTTCATTTTCATTTTTCTTTTTATGCTAATCCGCCTTCTCTAATTCAATAGCTTCCATCAATTATCAAGAACACATTCCATTAAATACCTCATTATTCATATCGACTCTGATTGATCTATGCTGCAGATTGGCAAATTTTAAGTGGGATATCTTGTGGCTTCCTTTTGGGCCATTGAGGTAACCTGTGGTTTGAACTCTGTTTCAACATATAGTTATTAACACACTGAGTATAATAGATTTATTGAGGTAATCATTGTTTCTAAAATTTTGGTTCGTTTTTGAGTTATTGTTATTTTGCAAGCACGTGCAGCCTCAGCCGTTCTTAGTTTCAGTGAAAATTATACCCCGGAAACTTTAACACCTTACTTAGATATAATAGTACACAAATTGCTTCTACTTCTATAGGTCCAAGGAAGAAAATAAAATATTTTTGTAAAAATGTACATGGAAGTATATGCCTATATGTTGAACGCACAACCATGTTTTTCCAATAAACAAATTTTTTAAATAAATTTCAGAACACCAAACAAATGGTGCAAGAGGGTGCGCTAAATGCTTTAGCTTCAGTTGCCAATTCACCACATGTGCACCATTATGTAATTATTAAGTTTTATTTTTATTTTGCTTTGTTTGTATACTGAGTCTGTTAAACTGTATTTATAGAAGCACTTATAGAAATACTATGATGCAGTTATGCCGTACTTGAAAAGCTGTTTTGATTAATGCTATCGACAAATCTAACTGCATGCTTCATGTCAACCCCAGTGCATTAGGATGGTTGGAAAGGAGAACTTCAAAGAGGATGCTAAGCAGGTAAATAACAACAAACTTGGTATTGGCTATATTTCTTATTGAATTTAATATAGTGCTTCTTATTACGTGGTAATCAATTTTTTGTTTGTTGATTTCTTTTAGTTCTTATCTCAATCCTTAGCTTAAGAATATTCTTCACGTTTACAAATGAGTTTCTCTAAAATTTACGTGCACTTATTATTAGCATTAACCAATTAACGTGCAACAAACGTTCACCCCACTAGTTCTTCTTAAAAGTTAATCTTTGCAATTTGATTTCAATTTAGAACTATTCTCCAAGTTTCGGTGCTTACTGTATATGTCTTCTTATATGGACGATTGTATATAGTCCTGATTCCTGAGTGGATTGGAAAAGAGAATTTTGGGAGAACCAACTCTTCAGAGCAAGGCTCTTGAGGAAGCTTTGGTTACCCAGTCTTTCTTTCAGCTAGGGTTGTTGCTTGTGTTATGGTGATGGAAATCGGCATAGAAAGAGGATTTGTTTCTGCTATTGGTGACTTCATAATTATGCACCAGCAGCTGCTGGCATCTGTGTTCTTTACATTTCAGCTTGGAACAAAAGCACATTATTATGAAAGGACAATTCTGCATGGAGGCTCTAAATACCGAGGCACTGGTTGGGGTTTTGTTGTTTGTCATGCCAAATTTTCTGAAAATTACAGATTGTACTCTCGCACTCACTTTGTAAAAGCTTTAGAGCTTTTAATTCAGTTAATTGTTTATGAGACCTATGGCCATTCATATCGCAGATCGTCATTATACTTCTTCATTACATCTTCAATTTGGTTCCTTGTTGCTTCCTAGTTATTTGCTCCTTCCATCTGGACTCCACTGGCAAAAAAACAGTTAATGATTGGACAGATTGGAAGAGGTGCATGGGTAACCGTGGAGGCATTGGGATTTCATAAGATAAAAATTGGGAATCTTGGTGGAGCGAAGAATAGGAACACTTGAAAAACACTAATATAAGGGGTAGGGTTCTTGAGGTTATCCTTATATTTCGCTTTTTCATCAACCAATCTGGGATCGTCTATCAGCTTAAGATCGCTAATCAAAGCAAGAGTATTGTGGTATAGATTACTTCATCTCTGTTTAGGTTCTTTTTGTTTTTGTTTTTTGTCTTCTTCATTGATATGCTCATTTTTCTTGCTTAAAATCATTTCTACAGGTTTACGGCCTTTCTTGGTTTGTCATGGTAGTTGCTCTCATGGTCAACAAGGTTAAAACTTCCAATTAAAAACTTCAAATTGGGAGGGCGATACACCTTGTGAACTGATGGGTACTAATAATTTGAAAAGGCCTTCGATGAACTTACTAATAATAAAAGAAGTTTATATTCTAACGAAATAAAGGGAGCTTCAATCCTGAGGAGTCTTTTGATTGTAAGACAGAGCCCTGGGAGTAATCCTAGGAGTATCGTCTAAGAGGCATCACTTAATCCTGTTAACTTACTTCGCTTGTTCAGAATTTTACTCTGATGTTGGTCTTATGTCTTTGTATACAACAGGTGGTGTCCGTGGACAGATGAAAATTTGGTATGGATTTTCAGCTCATGTTCAGGATTCTGAAAGGACTGTTGTTCCTTGGTTTTTTTTATCAGTCATGATTGTATTATTTATGGTTGCCGGCCTTGTTTTAACTGATATATTTGCAGCTATCATCGCCTTCATGCCTACTGGATGGGCACTTATCCTAGTAAGTAAATATCTGTTCATGATAATCGACTCCAAATTTATTGGTTAAAAGGCTAGTTTCTTCTTGTTCTGTTACATTATGGTGATCTTATTAATGTTATTACTCTACATTTTCCTACAAACCTCATGTTGCTCAAGCATTTGGATTGCCTGAAGAAAGCTAAAATTTGGGATTCAATGATGGAGTCGTCAAGAGCGTTCGGATGCAGAATGGGGCTCCTTATATTCATTCCCATTGTTGTTCTTTCTTGTTTCCTAGTCGTATCAAAATTCCAGACAAGACTTCTCTTCAACCAAGCATTCAGTTGGGGCCTACAGATTTCGATGATTCTGGCCGGGATAAAAAATAAAAATGCATAATGGAAATAATTATATTCATGCCCATTGTAGTACTGTCTTTATAATTCCCATTATATCAGAACTCCAGACGCGACTTCTCTTCAACCAAGCATTATGTCTGGGCCTCCTGATTTGGATGATTCTTGCCGAGAAAAACGATAAAACATTCTCTAGTTGATTATTCTTGTTTTCCCTTTTAAAATTCATGTCTCAATTATTTACCACCAGACTGGTATTAGGTAAATTTGTTTACAAAGATTCATCGTGTGATGTTGTATAGTGCCCAGGTATATTTAGAAATGAGGATGAAAAGTTCACAGTTTGGAGCTACTGAAAAATTCTTATGATACTGTTTTAAATATGGACATTTTTCTGTGCACTGCACATTCATCCATATCCAGTTGGGAGTATGCACATCAGTGAAACCAGTGTTTTAAAAGGCGAAAAATTGCGGGGAGTCTAGATGGGCCTAGACGTGAGGGAAGAGGCATGAATGAAAAGTCTCAAGATGTTGAAAAAGCGGTCAATTTTATTTTTGACTGTGGCATAAGCATGAGAAGTTGAACGTAAGCATCGAAATGCGTGCTTATGAGTAAAAAAAACTCATGTCTTTTTATTTTCCCATTCAATTATTTTACTTTTCAAAGTTAAATATGGAAACACATTGATAAATTGAACTGGATTGAAAGCTAGTAAGCACAACGAAGAATCATACATTTTCACAATAAAATATTTTGTATGTAAATCCAAATTTTTTTCTACGTTTTAATTACACATTCTCAAAAAACTATTATTCTAAAACTCATTTTTCCTAAAAAAGAAAAAAAAAAACCTTTTTAATGGTTGTCACGGGCTAAAGAGGGGAAAAATCAATTTTCTTGTGTGAATGAGGCAGTGGTGCACCAGAGTCTCCTCCAATCTCAACTTTTTAATTAAGACGACTAATTATTATCAATAATTAAATTGTCCGGCCACTAGCTGTTGAGAAATCTTTACTACAAGTTAAGCATTGACGGACAGAAAGATGGTAATCAGACCGTTAATTATGAGAAAATTTTCTTGAATCTTATTTATAATATTGTCAAATCTTATTCAGTATTGTGTACCAAAATCTCGAGCTTCGGCCAGCAATATACCAGTGATGTAACCTATGCCCCATCAGCATTGTGCAGCTTATATAAAATAAACACAAAATCTAGCACAGAGAGAGATGAAGAAGATTTGGTCAATGAAGAAACTGAGCAGAGGCTGGCTGCAATGGAGGTTCCCCTCTTCAATGAAATGGAAGGGTGTTAGTTTTCAAATATGGCTAGTTGATGATGTTATTTTCAAGATTGTATATGTGGTAGAGGCCATTTTTCTTGTTTCTACTTTGTGCTTCTTCTACCTCTGCTGTGGTTGTCATTTCTAGTTTTACTGGATTATTCTTTTGAAATTTTTTAGACCAAATTCTGCCCACTTAATTAATTATTCTTCATTCTTATGTATATAATCAATTGTATTTTTTTTCTAGTGAATTTTGTGATCTTTTGTTATCATCTGATTTGAGCCTGAGAAGAAACAAATCTGTATAGGAGTTGAATTCTTAAAGTGTACCATTTTTGTTTTTAGATTCTTAAAAGTAAGATTTTCTATTCATTTTGTTCAATGCTAATGCGTATTAAATTTTTAGATAAAATAGTTCAAAGGAATATCATAGTTGGTAACTGTCATTAGTTGAATTCTTGTAGTCATTCATTTATAACAATTGTGTACTTTCCATATTAAAATCTTTTTCAATCTAGACACCAGAGTGTTGAAAACTAGGAATACTTGGCACCAGTGTGGTGTCTTTATTCCTAACCGTTCAATTTTTTAGATGAAATGCTTCGTACATTCAAGATGACATATCATTGGTATTTACATAGGAGATGGTAGTGAGATCGAATTTGGGCTTGGAAAGAAATGGGGTGGTGGTGGTGGATGGCGTTGATATTTGTGCTGGTAGAGGTGGTTGTTGATGGTGATGGAAGGTGATGGTCGTAGTAAATCGCTCTACTCCGAGTGTGTAGGAGGTGTAGTGTTGGCGGATGGCTATTCCGTTTTTCATTTGATAATTTACTCATGAATTCTCAAATGTAAAACATTTTGGTTTGATATAAAACTGCAGTAGTTTCGGGTAAAATACTTCGTGGATTGGATAGATAACTAATTTTGCATCTCAAAGTTTTTCGCCCCGTAATAGAGGCTTCCTCCGTTTTGAACCATAGCTGCCAAACATTTGAATAAATCAAATATATCGACATCTCGATACATGATTAATTTAGTAACAGTAATGTTTTATTTATGTGAGTTTGAATCTGAAAAAAAAATTGTGTACTTCATATAAAAGGAGACTATATTTTAAAGAAGATAATTAAATAAAACATAATAATCTTCTAGTAATTAAAATTTAAAGAAATACATATTTAACAAACATGGAATAAAAATGCTGAAAAATGTAATATATATTGTGTGGTTTGTTATTTTTAATAAATGATATTTTAGTCAGTTTAGCTACCAATAATGACAATTATGTAAAAAAAGTTATTTTCTCGATAATTATGCACCATAATTTTTGTTTGTTGTATCATATTTTAATTGCAATTTTCTCATTGTTGCACTTATGTCCTTGACATTTTTGTCGAATAATTTTTAATTATCACATCTTGCCCTATGACAATTTCTACCATAGCATTGAAATGAGGGGCACATATTTTATCTAACTTATTATTATTATTAATTAATTAATTAATTAAGAATGAGGAATTTTTGTGCCCCCCTGGTAGATATTTTGAATGAAAATAGTAACCAGGAATAAGACGTGATAACTAATCATAAGGTTGATGATAAGAAAGAATAAAAAAATGTTGAGGACATAAGTGTGGGTGTGCTAATGAGCAAAAGTTGATGAGTTTCATTGCAATTAAAATGCAGTACAATATAAGGAAAAATGTAATAGGTAAAATGTTGTAATTTGGGCCTTCAACTTCACCAAATCGAGCTCAGATAAACCACCCAATCAACACCACAATGAACAATCGAATCTCCAAAGCTACAACCATCAAACCGGTTGCTCCAAGGTGCCACAAAGGCTGAGTGTGAGTGATCTTTGACAGCTCTAACTAGCCACTAAGGATAAGAGAAGGAGGAGGAGAAGATAGCACAAAGCAAGAGGAAGTACAAAGCAAAACTCTCTTTTCTCTCCTCAAACTCACGGTTCCAACATTCAATTTCACACTAGGGCTAGACAAAGAAAACCGACCCACTTATAAACCAAATAAGTGGTCTTCTAGGTCAAACATAAGTGGCTCAATAAGTAACACCAAATGGGCATCCAACCAAAAAAGCCGTCCAAGGTATTTGGGTTGGGCCATGAGCAACTCTAATTAATTAGGCTATTTCCAATGGCTCATTTATGTTGTCGGAGTGGTCCGTTCATTGCAGTGTCGACTTTTCACTTCAATTATCGGTCGAGGCTTATGAAATTTAATCCAAACTATAAAACCAGTTTAACATCATCGCCCGAATTTATTAGATATCAAAAAACCCAACATAAAATATAAATTTGAAAAATATTGTATGCAATGTGTAGATACACCAAATATAGGCCATTATGTTGTAATTTTTCTTAAATCTTGTTAGCATTATTCATGAATATTTTTCATTAAAGATTTTGTTTAGGATGCCAAAATTGTATGAGCTGCATGATTACCACAGTAAGAATTTATTACAAATCGATGGATCACCAGACACTACAATGTGATGGGTAGGTGGGAGAAAGAAAGAAAGCAAGAGAGAGTTGATGATGACTCAATAAGCACGCATTGCAGTAACCGATCGAAGAATTGGGTGACACATGTGGTCTACTCGTTTGAGTTAAGTGACCACCATCGCCATGGTGGGTCTGATCGCTCTACAAGGAGTTTTGTACAGCATAACAAAGTCCAATTGGTGTCAGCAGGCGCAATGAGCCACATGAGCACGACCCTTGCATAATTGTGTAAATAAAAGTCTTTCCCTCCAAAATAATAATAATAATAATCACATAACAAACACACTACTTTCTGTATCAAGGAAAAGTGACAACATCACTCAAAAATCTTAATCCGAGTCACAAACTTTCGCCGAAAGTATCATTTTCATTGTGGTTCTCCTAATCGACCACCACCAAGAAATAGCTTAATCATCAAGAGTAATGAACATGACTAAGGTAATTTCAGATCGTAGTACAACAAATTTTATTTTACTTCAAATTAGAAAGTGATGTCTTGTTTCATTTTGGTCTTCTTGACAATTTCATCAAATGAAAATTGAGAGAGAAGCTCTTCTAGGTCAAGGCACCTTTTTTGAGATGTGTCAAACTTAAGTTCAAGATTTAGTTAATCATTCACCCCCTAGCATGCAACTCCAAAAGGCAGGTCAATCTATTAGACTCAAAGCTGAGAATTTTGTTGCTGACTTTATTCCTTAGTTGCATAATTTGACTAGATTTTGTTGCCAAGGAGTTTTATCCATTGATTTTTCTTCTTGAGAATTTATTCTTTACGGTCAAGCTGAAAATGGAACACAATTTTATCTTGTTGCTTGGATATACAAATCCATTTAAGATTGAAAAAAAAAAAAAAAAATCTTTTCATTCTTTAATACCGTGCTCGTGAGCATGGTATTTGAGACTTATAAAAGAATTTTTAGGATCACATCGCTAAATCATTTTCAATTTCATCGAAAATAATAGCAGTGGGAGTTTTCAACCTACTTTGAAACAGAGAAAGTAGGTTTTAATCTCCCTCGGGACATAGTTCAGTGGTGCAAAGGAGATGAGTGAGGTAATCTCAACTGAGCTGGCAGTCGCAGTATGACGATTCGATTTCTGCCTCTTACAAAGGATGAAATTTAACTCTTTGTGAATACCAATATGATAACTCTTGTACTTTGGTCTGTTGAGGTACATCCCGCAATTTACCTCTTCCACAATGCTCTAGGAGTGGGGCGGTGGAAGACCCTCAAGATTGGGGTTCAACCCTTTGAGAAAGTAGGTTTTAATCTTTCAATGTTGTAGCATAAATATGTAATAGAAAATTTTTATTATAATTCCACGTGACAGCCACATGCATGTACGATTTTTAGAGGGAAAAATAAATTGGTAAAATTTTAATTTTTTAAGAAAATGAAAAAGGAAAGGGGATGGGAAAAAGGAGAATAATACCCAACCATTCACACGGCAGCCTTCCTCCCTACTATTAAAAAAATTGACTTGCCATTAACGTGCTACAAAATTGTATGGTTAGATGTCTATAATTGATACAAATACATTGAAGACTCCAGCTTAATTTTCTGCAAGTGCTCGGAGGACACGCCAAACAGCCAAAGTACTCGATTTTAACCCTCCAAAATTGATGATTCACAAACGCATTCGTTCCCAAAAAATAAAAATAAAACACTATTTTGTAATCGTTTCCTCTTATTCTTGTTCTCTTGCAATTTTCATTGTAGGCCAAAAGTGTTGAGGATATTACACTGATAACGTACGTGATTTATATTCTCAAAATGTACATTTTATGTGCGTAAAATCGAATATAGTTTCGACTTACTAAAATAGGATTTGAGAAAACGAAATGATAATTATTGAAACTGAATGCGTGACAACGGATTTAATCATTCATTCTTCGATGAAAAAATTTCCTATAATAAAAAGAATAATCAGTTTTTTCAGAAATCAAATTTTAATTTCAAATAAATTAGAAAATAAAATAGGAAATGTAAGTGATTAGATTGGTCGAGGCAAGTGTTTGAAACTCTCTCTTTAAGATGAATTTGCCCCGTATCAGTGCTAACGATTTTTTGTCAATTATCTCCCAATATACAATGACCACATCCTATAATAGGAGCACTCCAAATTACGTAGATCAACGAACTCAGGAATTCTCTCTCTACTGAACCGTGTTTTTATGCAAGAAAAGACAACTTTTAAAGTGTTTAACCAAAAGAAATGATATGAAATTATGAATTGAATTAATAAAATCCAAACACATGAGATTTATATATGGTAGTTGAAAAGATTTTTCTTAAAAGACACAACCATAGAAAATGACACACCTCTTGAAATTTATCTCTTTATATGAAGAGACACACCCATTGAAAAATAATCATGCCAAAAGTCATGATCTTTCAAATGGAAAGACACACATTTCCATCCAAATACTTTCAAGAATATTTCATAATATTTTATATGATTTTCCAACAATTCACGTATTTAAGCAACTAAAATTTGGTTTAATTTCTCATTCATCAAATAATGAATTTCACTTAAATAATCATTTAAAATTGATCAAAACCAATTTTCGATACAATATTCTAACAATCCCCCACATGAATAAAAATTAATGCAAATGACTATGCAGACATTAGTAGAGAGAAAGCGAAAAACATTGCATCATGTAAGGTAGCTTTCGAGCTTGAACCTTCCTTGGTGAAATACTATTGAATTTACTTAGCTAATTGGTGAACACGATGTCTTGGACCATTCAATCGTTGGTGTAAACCAAGACAACAGTATTCGTACAATATCTTTCCTAAACTGTTCATAGTTCTCATGATTTGGTTCATTTTGGCCCTAAACCACCATTGGGTTTCATAAGCGTTTAGAAAATTTCAGCATTTGAACAATTTTCATTGAGCCGGCCCCACCTCACACTTACATATGTGACATCCTATTAGGAGTATTCTGCCTTACTCTACTTGACTTAATCAAGATATAGGAATCATTAAAAGTATAACTTAACCTCATACTTTGCAGAAAGCACTGTAATTATCATAGGAATGAGTATGAATAATTTTCTAAGTGCTTCATGGAATCTTCATAATTTA